CATAATCCTGATATCCTTGTATAATGTTAAGCTTTCCTATTATTAGGTACTCTTTAACAAACAACTTGGTCATTTACATTTTTGGCAACTAGTAGCCTCTGTAGCTATTTTTAGCAGTGAGCTCCCTTGCCTGCTAGTTGTCTTTTACATAGACTGCAGCACCTCCTCCCTTCTTGCCTATCTGGTCCCTGTGGAACAGTGTGTAACCTTCCTATTATATTCTTCTCCATCGTCACTCAACCATGTTTCTGTTATTCCTATAATATTGTAAGAGTCTGATGAAATTAAAGCCTCTAAATCATACATTTTGTTTCTAATGCTCCTAGCGTTTAAGAACAGACAGCAAAGGGCAGGCCTTTTACAGGGCCCATCATTGATTTGGGCTTTCCATCTTCCCCCTGCTATATTCTTAACTAACCTCCATGCCCCCCAGTCCCTAGTTTAAACACTCCTTGACTACACATACGCCTCTCCAACACACTGGTTCCCCTCCAGCTCAGATGCAACCCATCTGGCTCGAACAGATTCCATCTGTTCCAGAAGGTCCTCCCGTGTCCCATAACCCTGAACCCCTCTTTCCTACACCACCCCTTTACCCACGCATTTAATCTCCTTATTTCATCTAACTGCGCATGGCACAGGAAGTATCCCAGAGAATACCACCGTGGATGTTCTGCTTCTAAGATTTTCTACAAATTTTTCCTGTGAAGCAGTCCACCTACCCTTGCCTATGTCGTTGGTGCCAACATGCGCCCTGACCACTGGATCCACCCCAGCCTGTCCACACGTTTCGGAAGGTCCCCTACCTGGGCACCCGGCACGCAAGACACTTTACAGGACTTTTTTCCGCATGCACACAAGCATCCAGAAGGACAAACATCTTGCAAACACAACACTGAGCTGGCCCCATACTGTAATTCACTCAGTATGACCTTGATCCTCACTGCCAGCCCAATATATTTATATAAAGTTTAGTTGATTTAATTAACTAAACAAAACAGTAAGTAAAATTAGTGGATAAACCTGCAGCCTAAACACATACGTTGAAACAAAACTTTAACTTAATTATTTCATCCGATTGGGTCAAAGAAAAAAAAAAAACAATTGTTGGTGTTTATTGAGAAGTCACGTGGACAGAAAATGCCACTCGCACAGCACCTGCAGCTGCACCTCACAGTCGGTAACACTCGTGCTGTTTATTAACAAGGACAGACAAGGACTTGCGCAGACCGAAAACAAAAACAGCCACCCACGCAAACGAGACTCACAAACACACAAATATAATCCCATACAATCTCAAACAACCGCTGTAACACTCACACAACGCGCGTGTACACCACTTTATCTCAGTACATCAACCCCAGCAGGTTCTGCCCTCTGACATCAGTCCAAAAGGTGCTTTTGTGATATTTCTCGGACCCATAAGGGGAAACCACAATTTAGCTCAGTGTAATACCACATTTCTTACTTTTGAACTATCTGTTCTGTAACCCAAACTATGGTTACCCAACTGTAGCTAGGGTTAGGCTTATAAAGGCTATGACTTTTTCAGACCACAAAAGGTGTTTTATGATAGTTCTGTCCTCCTGTATAACAGGAAACCACAGTTTAACTCGATTTAATAGCATATTTCATACCTTCCAACAACCTGTTGTGTTCTTCTCTGTGACCAGCAACCTTTTGTCAGTGGAGCAGACCACTCCCCCCAGACCCCCATCACTCTGGCACTCAAGCAAATACTCTCTGGTAGCAATGAGATAAAAACCACATTACCTTTCATTGCCCCCGCAGGCCCACCAATGGCAGCTTCATAATGACGATTGATTTTCCAGTAAAGCTGTCACTATAGATCTGCTATATCTATTACATGCATCCTTGTGGGGGTATGTCTTGATATTGTCCCTCATGTAAATTTATCACTTGATCTCTAAGGCCTTTAATTCTGTTTTCTCCTTTTGCTAGGTGTCCAGTACTGTCTAGGCCCCCTCTCTTAAAATACATTTCAGTTCCCAAAAGTAACCTTTCCAGTACTCCTAAACAGCAGGCGGCTTTTCTGCTGTTTTCCACCCCACACTCCCCGCCAGCCGTCCCGAAAATGTCCCCTGGCTCTGTCTCAGGACATTGTTTTAGCTCATTCTCTTCAAATATTTTAGCAATGAAAAGTGAAAGCACACTAATCAGCAAATCTGAATTGTATGAACTCAAGTCCTGTAAACTTATATTGGATAAACATGAGGCCTCAGTCCACCCCCATGTGAAGCACCTGCTGGTCCCCCCTCCCCCGACAGTGAAACATTCATCATTTTAATAGACTCCCCCCCCCCCCACCACAACACATACTCCTACTGAGGATCAGAGGGGCAAAGTGTTTCTGTATACAGAATATCCATCATCTGATAAACGGAGAAGTTCTGGTTGGTCCTGTACCTCATTTCCAGTTTTCCTTTTCTCCTTAAATTTTGAAGGATTGCCGAGATGTGTGTCCGCGGTGCTCTGGCGTGAGCTGGTACATTTCTTACCGGCAGACGCGTTTGCTGCCATTGGCTTGCTATGTCAGTTCCGGAACTTTTGCCATGAGATGGTTTTATTGTACATGGTTTCAGGCTTTAGCTTCCAGCGCTTTTCTGTTTTTCCAGAGATCTCCCTTCCTTCCTGTTCAGCTCAGTGGTCCCTGAAATCTGCAGTCTTCCTTTCTGTGAGATAGGCTTCCCCGCTTCTTCACGTCTGCATCTTTTGGATGACAAATGACCATTCGCTTCAGCTCCAGCTGTTATTCTGCCAGGACTGTCTTATCGCCTCCCACCACGTGAAGATGCAACAAATTTACCCAAAGGAAAAAATAAATTATGGTTCTCAGAATACGATATAGATGAGCTAGATTTTTCTAGAGGTTCTCATCAAAATTAATCTTGAATGTTGCTCAAGATAACATTTGTAAATAACATCTCCGTCCTTCGTAGGCTGAACTCTCATATAGCCACCTAAAGTACCTCGGGATTATGAAGATAATATTCTTATCAGGGCTGGGAGATAACATATCGATATTATATTGCTCATGTGCAATAATCACCAGGGCTTCTGATGACAGACAAAACATTTGGCTGCACACCAGCTTTTCGGTACTATACGGACATTTATTTACGCCCATAATTTGTTAAGCAGATTAGTACATCTTTTACATGAGGAGATCTTGTGGATAAACAAGGTAAAAGTACGTCGGTGATATGGCAGGACTTCTTGCAGTTTAAAGACTGACACATTTATTACACATAAGGGTATCCCGAATTTAAACTGATTAGTAACTTTTGGCCATCATAAAATGCCTCTTTATTTTTTTAGCCATACTACTAATCTGTTTAACAAATTAACGTAAATAAACATCCGTATAGCACCGAAAAGCTGGCATCCGGCCAAATGTTTCGCCTGTCATCTGAAGCCCTGATGATTATTGCGCATGGGCGATATATTGATATGTTACCGCCCAGCCCTAATTCTTATGGTCTCAGCTCTTACTGATGTATTTGAATTTCTCCTCCAAAGATCTGAGGCTATATTCAGACCTGAGTACGAATGAGAGATAGTTAAACAGTGACCATGGGCAGTTAATGGTTTTGTGAGTGTTACCTGGTTTGCTTGGCTTTGCTGTTCCAGCTCCTTGAGGAGTTTAACACTTGCTATGCTTTGTTAATATCTTTTTTTATGTCAGTATTTATGTACTGGACAAGTGCTGTTTCTTAAATGCTCTTTGTTAATTTGTGTTACGGGTGGCAAGTTCTCCTGTCTGGTTTGACTGTTTGAAATGTGGGATATCTGTGATATTTTCAAGGATGTGTCTGAGACCGTTGAAAGCATTGTTCCTTGAAGCATGTTGTCAGAAAATTACTGGATGTTTCTTCGAGCTTCTATCATCGGTTTTTCTTTCCAGGGTAGTTTTTCACTAATAGTACTTAATGCAATCTGTTTGGCTAATCCATTATCAGTACAGATCTGCAAAGCAGTAGCTTCTTTAATGAATATTGTGAGTGCTAGTGCAATGTGTGGTAAAGTATATTACGGCCAGATAAAGGAACCGTCCTCCCTTCCCCAGAGTTCCTCACTCGCCCTGTTACTGTCTTGTGATGGATTTCCAGTGCTTTTCCGGTCTCATAAATGTAACCATCTCCGGAAAATCACGCTTTCTCTTTTTTTCCAGTTTGAAAAGCATTGTGTGTTTTCCGGGAAACTTGGAGCTGCTTGTTAATGGAAGGTGTGTCCTCTTTTTCCAGAGGTTTTGGCAGCTATTAGGTTTCAGAGGAATTTTCTGCGCTGTCAGTTTACACTGTATCTGAGCGTGTCCTCCTCCAGTTCCTCATGACAGATCTTTGCCCCTGATAGTGCTCTAACAAAGGGTGTGCGACTTTACAATCGAAGCAGCCAGCATCTCTCTCCCGAGTGACTTCCGTTCCTTTTCATGTTAGTAATGTTAATAATAGAGAAGGAAGCCTGCAATTAAACCTGTGAAGATGTTCAATTCGCTTGGGTGTTTTATAGTGTTTGATTTTTCCTGAAGCAGTTTGAACGTGGATATGTAATTCAGGAATCTCAGAATCAGCTGTGATCTATTCAGAGAAGGACAAAAAATGTTTTTTTTTTTTTGGATTTTTCTTCTCTCCATATGTTAGTAGTTCTGCGTTACAGAGGCATAAACAGCACTCCAGATGGTCCATCAAGAGTCTGAAGTGGTTTAAAGTAGATCTGCAAAAAGGCATTTTTTTTGTGTTGCTTGTCAGATGCCTTGCATCACTTCCAGTAAGACAGACAGTAGCCTGCATGTAATACATCGTGGAAGTGCAGGTCGTATGTATGATTTATTTTTTTTGTTTTGGACATCAGGGATCGTAACTGGACAGCATCTAGTTCCCTATGCTGTGATTCGCTAGGTTGTTTGAGCCTCCTTGAAGATACAGACCACTTTGTTAAGTGGAGAAACGTCACTGACATCTCTGCCACTCTTATTCCAGGAGAAGTTGAAGCTGAAAGTGAAGATGATGAAGATGATGATGACGACTGTAAGAAGTCATCTATGGATGAGGTAGCAAGCCTTTCCCTGTATCTCCCAGTGTAAATAAGAGGGACATATCAAAATGTTTGCTTTAAAGCAGGCTTAAGGAAGAAAGGAATATTCAAATACTTTACATGCTGATTTGATCATGTTCATTAATTTCTAAGTTTGATATGTGCAATGTTCCTGATGTAACCTTTTGCTAAGGAGCAGTTGATTTTCTTTCTTTTTTTATATTTTTGAAATGGTATTCATTATTTTTTTCCCCCAGTGTAGCAGTTCGAGAAGCCACACTTATTACTAAGCCAAGTTTGCCCCCTGGTGTACAATATTAGAATTACATCTATGTATTCACAGGTTCTTGTTTTTTGCTTTTGATTAAAAACTTTTTGTATTTAAATATTGATTGCAAATGTAATCAATTGTCTGTGTCTGTCTTTGTGCTAATGGTCCAGGGAACAGCAGGAAGTGAAGCTTTTGCCACTGAGGAAATGTCCAATCTAGTCAACTATGTCCAGCCTGTCAAGTTCTACTCGTTTGAAGCTTCAAAAAGTAATCCCTCTCTCGAAGAATCATATAACTCTTTCAGAAAACATGTTTGATACTTTATCTATTTATTTTTCTCTTTCAGAAAGCAATAGGAGTTATCAGATGTCTTCTTTTGTGGAAACTAAGGCTCTAGAACAGCTTACAAAGTCACCCGTTGAGTTTGTAGAGTATCCTTTTACTGTCCTCCAGTACACTTCCAGAGTGAAAGCAAACCTTGAATTACTGATGACCTGTAAAGCAGCAGATACGGATGAATGGATGGATTGATTTATGGATGGCTGGGTGAATGGTTGGATGGATAGATTGGCTCACCACTTGAGGAAATGATCAGTACCTAGATCCAATGTAAGACTTGTTGACATGGCATGTAACGTTCCAGTTAGCATGGCGGAACGCTTTTTCCCTGGATCTGCTGGTCATTCTAAGTTGCTTGGAGGACCTCCTTGACGAACCATCACTAGGTATAACAAGCTTCAGCTCAGCCGAATCTATCCCAAGGGCACCAGGGTGGACTCCTCAAACTACATGCCCCAGGTGTTCTGGAACGCGGGCTGTCAACTGGTGGCGCTGAACTTCCAGACGATAGGTGAGCCTGATTGGTCGCTGTGTCTGCATTTTGTCTCCACAACTGTTATTCTGACCCATGCAGACTGACACAGGGACTGTAGCTAAGTACAGACCGGCAGTATATCAGTGTGCCTTCACTGATCAACCAGAGTTAATGCCCAGGGATGGGTGTGTTGTTTCTAGGGCCTCACTCAAAACGTCACTTGGTGGCCCCTGCCCCCCTCTGATGTTTCAACTACTAAATAAATAGTTAGTGAGTAGAGTCAGAAGATTGTAGATGGCTAGCTGATTAGCAAAATGTGCTGCTTTAGCATCTCTTAAATGAGCTTTATTTCTAATTGAGTACTGTATAGTGAGTGTACCTTAGGATAATAGAATAATGCCCCATTTGAGTGGTGATAAACAGCTCTGTTGGCTGAGTCTGTAAGTTGTTCAGGAGATGACTTCCCAACCCGCAACATATAACTGGGTTCTGGTGTTAGACCAGTGATCCCAGGTGTCACCTTTCACCTCATGGAGTGTGATGTGAATATGGGGATGGCGGTGGATCTGCTCGTCTCTTTGCAGACCTTCCAATGCAGCTAAACCAGGGCTTGTTCGAGTTCAATGGGAAGACCGGGTACCGGCTCAAGCCTGAGTTCATGAGGAGGCCGGACAAGAACTTCGACCCATTTACGGAGGTCACAGTGGATGGGATTGTAGCCAATACCCTGTCTGTGAAGGTCAGTCTGCTTCTTTGTGCAGTTTCGGAGCTCAGGATAAGTGGTTGGAGGATGGATTGATGCGTAGATGGATGTTATGGTGCTAAAATGGGCTTTTGTAGACAGAAATATATGATGGAAAACATATGTAAGCATATAAGGAGGATTTATGGAGAACATAAACTTTAAAACGTGCAGTATGTTTGCAAAGGTTGAAAGAACCTGATTTGCGCTCTACAGATTATATCTGGACAGTTCTTGTCAGACAAGAAGGTCGGCACATATGTGGAGATAGAAATGTTCGGACTTCCTGTCGACACGAAGAGGAAAGCATTCAAGACAAAGACATCACAGGGCAACGCTGTGAACCCCGTGTGGGAGGATGAGGCCATAGTGTTTAAGAAGGTGGGTCTGTAGCATCCTCTGGACTGTCACACCTTATACTCATCACTCACAGCCTCCCTGTGCTTCTGTCCAGTTGCTACAGTGTATGTTCTTCAAACAGGCCCATCATCTCAATTTTGGGCAACAGGGTCCTTGTAATTAGGGAAAGTATATGATTCAGTGGGTTAGGACTTTGTGCCCATGATCAGAAGGTTGACGGTTCAAATGTCATGGTTGGCAGAATGATATCTCTATTGGACTTTTGAATAAGGCCCTTAACCCTCTCAAGGCAGGCGTTGCTGATTTGCAACAGTTAAAAACTAACTACCTTATTACCCCACATACATATTTTATGAGTTTTTTTTACTCAGAAGTACCACTGCAGGACTTGGTTGTCCTGTCGTTACTAAAACTTAATTTGAGCCTGAAAGGGTTAACCCCAATTGCTCCAGGGACTGAATGACCTTGTTTTCTTGTTTGTACGTCACTTTGGATAACTGCTAAATAAAGAAAAATGTATATCTAGTTCATCATTATGGAGGCAATATTTAAGTGATGTCCATTAGCCTTCTGTGAAGAGTTTGATGGTCAAGTGTATACTCCCTTAGGTAGTGCTCCCCACTCTGGCGTCACTGAGAATAGCCGTGTTCGAGGAAAGCGGGAAGTTCATTGGCCACCGCATCATCCCTGTGTCTGCCATCCGCCCAGGTAAGACTAAGGTGCTAGACAGTGGCCATTCTGTAGTGGAGTTCAGTGACTCCTGACCTTTGTCCCTGATCCTTGAGGTCACATGACCGGTTTCTGATTGGCTGTACCTCATCTAATCCTAGGTTATCGTTACATCGGCCTCCGAAATGAAAAGAGTCAGTCACTGCTATTATCGGCCCTTTTTGTTTACATTGAAGTCAAGGACTATGTCCCTGACACCTTTGCAGGTAAAATCCACAATTCTTCTAACTTGTATGTGAACCTGTTGTTATCACAATATGTACATGTAGCTACTATTTGGCATTTGATGAGAACATCTCCTTGAAATAGTCAACTGTGTTTATTATGTTTAATGTAGTGAACTTATTGGTTATAATGAAATGATTTTGGTTAATGTAAATAATGTAATTAATCATCATTACCATTGTTATGTCATCTTGTACACTGATCACCTTGTAAGGCATTTTGTGTTGCATGTTTCATTGATAGCTGTCTTTCAATGCATTGCCTCGTCGCGGGTTAAGCATGCAGACAGCCTAGGTCACTTGTGTACGCTTTCTGGTCTCTGAGCAGATGTGATTGAGGCACTATCCAATCCTATCAAATACGTCAACCTGATGGAGCAAAGGGCCAAGCAATTAGCAGCTCTCACCCTGGAGGAGGAAGAGGAGGAGGACGAAGGGAAGGAGGTGGGCATTTCCGTCAGTCAGGAAAATACAGAGTCCTACTCACATGCTGCGAAATTGTAATGTAAATTATTGTTAAAAAGTTGCATGAATATCCTCACGGTATTTCACTGATAGCTGCTGCCGCAGGAGCTAAAGTGGTGTGGTGCATTATGGGAATTTTGACAACCGTTAAAGGTGTCCTGTTGAATGAATCAGACCTTAGTGAGTCTGATGTTTGACTTGTGAACGATTCTGAAAATTATTTTCCAGTTTTAATAAATGTGATACCTTCAGTACTTCATAAATATTTATTACAGAAGTCTGAGTTACGAGGTTTACAATTAAGTGGTAATAATTTCATTACAGCTAAAATGTGATCATACACATTAGTAATTTATTGAATTGATTTTTTTTCTGTTTGAATTTATATGACGCTCTTATGAAAGCTTTTTGAAAGGCATTACTGTTATTGTTATTAATAGATCCATTCTGGGCCATTTGTGAAATCTAAAAATAAAATAAACTGTGGTGCGTGTCCCCAGTCAGTATGTTTTGCTGCATTTCACTAATTATATTGACCTCACAGACAGACTCACACACACACTCACATGCGAAACGTGCACACACAGACGCACACACAGACACACGCACACACCTTTACTCATATCTTTGTGGGGACCGTCTATTCATAATGACAACAATGGTAACCTTAACCCCTACCCAACTCTAACCTTAACTATAAGTAACCAAAGTACAGTGGTACCTCAGAACTCGAATTTAATCTGTTCAGGACTCAGGTTCGAATCCTAAAAAATTTGAGTTCTGATCGAATTTTCCCCATAAGAAATAATGGATAACCAATTAATTGGTTCCCGGCCCCAAAAAATTACACACAAATGTTTTTTTTAGCATTTAAACACAAAATGAACAGGATAAAACAAGAGTGTACTAAACACATCTAGGCACATTTATCAAAACAGTAATAAATGTATCCAAACAATGTGTAAAGTTAAAAAAAACAATGTGTCCTGCCCCGATCATCCGCTCCTTCCGTGTGCCACGCCCCCTTGTTAACCCCATGTGGGATCCCCGTGTGATCAGCTGTTTCTGGTTGTTTTTATTAGCCCTCTGTATTTAGTCCGCGTTTCAGTTTGTTTCCCCAGTCCGGTCATTGTATTGTCCGTCTGCGTTTTGCCTGCCTTACCTGTAATTAAACCCCGTATTCCCCGATACCCTGACGTCTGCGCCTTTGTCTTTGTTCCGTCCCGCTCGGCACAACAATATTATTATAATTAAATGTATTAATGGTTTATTATTAATGATATAAAAATAATTAATAAGAAATCTTTATTTTTAAATGTATTTTATTATATAATAATAATTACTGTTACTGTCTATCATTGTCTAAATGTATTTTTACTGTCTAAAATATGTATTCAGCTAGTGTAAACATGCACAATGCTATCACAGCGAATGCGAGGCTGAGACTGAAGCGTTACCCTTTGTTTCCGCTGAGAAATGTGCCGCGTGACTCATTTCCCTGCGTGTACAAGTTAACTTAGGTTGGCGTTCACGGTTCAACTTCTGAGATTCAGATCGAGCTCTAGGTCTTTTTTTTTCAAACTGGTTTTCAACTTTTAAGAAATTCGAGTTCTAATGAGTTCGAGAACTGAGGTACCACTGTACAAGTCTTTTGGCATTTTTAGTATTTCGATTGCAGTCACAATTTTTTGTAAAATTTAATTTCCTCTTGTGGGGATGGGAAAATTGGTCCCCACCAAAATAACAGGTTCTTATCACACTGTGGGGACGTTTGGTCACACACACACATGCATACACACACTGTCACACTGACATGTTTGCTTTGCCCTTGTACTACATGTGCTGCTTTTTCTGGACAAAATCAGGCAGAAAACATTATTTTTAGTCCCTGTCAGTTTATTGGGTCATTTGCGGCAGAATTGTGTTATGTAACTGATACACATGGGTGGGAAAAGTACTTTAATTCAAAATTGCCCTCATGCAAATTCTCTGCTTAAATTATTTCCATTATCGATGGTGTAATTTCATTGTTGCTATTTATTAAGTCTCAGCTTACGTCCGTATGGATGGTCCCAGAGGCCCTGTCCTCTATCATAATAGGATTCTATTTTCAATCGGGATTGAGGGATGCGTCTTAATATGTGGCCCAAATATGTACGCAGTCAGACATGCAGTCATGATGGTGTTTCTTACTGTAACTTTGCTTAATTGATTAAAAGTAACTTTGTTTAATCTTGAAAGTTTTGGTAATTATGACTCTCCTACAGTTATATTAGCCTGGAGTTACAGCAGCTATAGCAGCCTTCTGGAAGCTGACTGTGATTCAATGTCTTTCTCCATTAGATTAAATTATCTTTATTTATTCTGCAAGGAGACAGGTCAGTGTGGGTAATGAAGTGTGACAGGCCGCAAGATACCTGAATGCAGCCTCTAAAATGAGTGCAGTGAGCATCATCAGTACATATAAAGCAAAATGTGGAGAGCCTGTGTGAAATATTGAAATACAGACATGACTGCCGTCTTTTGATTTTATGGTCTGTTCTCATGATGGATTGCCGCTGTTTTATTTTTATTTGTGTATTAATGTTCATGTTGTCTTTTAGTACTACTTGCATTGCTGCACCCCATGATTTGGATGCCTTGTGATTAATACTGCTCTTCTATAAGATGAAGAGGACTTACTTGAAAACATGAAATCTGAATAAACCTGAATGTGTGCAAAAATGCATAGATTTTTAGAGCCTTTAAATCACATTTATCACACAGTATGTCTGATTAGTGGCAGCCATTTTTACCAATGTTGTGTTGACCCCCGAAAAGCCATCAGTGTGATTACTCTAATAGAGAAAAGATCTAAAGCTCCCCAAGGGATCTTCCTTCTATAGTCGCAGTTCATCTAGGCGGCTCCCTTCGAGGAGTCAAGGACCCTTGATAACCGGTGGGGAGACACCACGCCATGCTGCCGCCATAGCAACAGCCAGCAGGAAGCGCTTTATTCCGCTGACAGGTGTGTGGCGCTCTTAGGTAGGGTGAATGCTTGTGGGCACCAGTCTGAACCTGACGAGAAGCAGCTGCTGGTCAAACTGGAGCAGACTGGGAGGATGTTCCAGTAGGAATAGAGAGGCTATGCTGAGGAGGGTTGGACACCAGAGTTACATGTATACACTCTGCAGCTGGAAGGAGGTACATCACAGTGTGTGTGGAAGGATCCAGGGAGATGACATTGGGGCTCTGTTTGGCTGGGTACTTTCGCTATAATGATACTCATTGTAATACATTAGATTTATGGAAGTGTGTGTGTGTGCGCGTGTGCGAGCGGGTTTACTTATCCTTATGGGGACATAATATCCCCATAACGTGATAAATATCTGTTTTTTTTCCCTTATGGGGACCGGTTTCCTGGTCCCCATAAGGGAAAACTCTATTTTATAAAAATCGGTGACTGCTATGAAAAACTAAAAATGCAAAAACTCTTGTATTTTGTTAGGTTACTTATGGTTTTGGTTAGGGCAGGGTAGGGGTTAAGGTTGTCATAGTTAGCGTTAGCTGTAAATAAGAGGGTTGTGAAGGGGGTGGAGCCATTGGAACAGTAATGGCCTCCCATTGGTCCAAACCAGGTGTGGTGATCCCACCTGTCCTTTCTAAACCTCATTTGTGTCACTGGTATGGTAATGGTCTAGTTGCTGCTTAGTGAAGCGGTCTAGCCGTGTCTTAGGGAAACATGCCGCGTTTAACGAGGCCCCCAGTCAATTGCTACTTAGGAACCAGAAGGTGGGTATTTTCGGTCATGTTCAGCAGTCAGTGGTCGTGAAATGACGAAAGATGATGGGAGGACCCAGTGCATTGTGGGTAACCTGGAGAACAGGCCAGAGTGGAGAAGCTCAGATGAACTCAGCAACACTTCTGTTGTTTCAGGTAGAACCGGGGGATGACGACCCATCCGAACCTAAGAATGAACCCAAGCCAAACCCGGCGGAGAATGGGGTGAGCCACCCCCCATGCAGCACCCCCCGACCCCCGTGTCAAGTGCCCAACCAACCCCAGTCCAAAGGTGAGCCTGACACAGAGCTGGGGGAGGGATCCAGCCCCGCGCCCTTTGTTATTTACGCTGCACTGGCTGTCGTCTCGGATAAATGTCTCGCTTCTGCCTGAGCTCAAAGCCACTGAGCCGCAGTGTGAGAAGGCGGGCCAGTGAGCCGCAGTGTGAGAAGGCGGGCCAGTGAGCCGCAGTGTGAGAAGGCGGGCCAGTGAGCCGCAGTCTGGCCCCACCACATCCTAATGCTGAATGATCATCGGAAGTGTACTTAACATTTACATTATATTTATTTAATTTAGTAGACATTCTTGTCCATAACGATGTACAAGTGAGCAAAATCGCAAGTTACATATGGCTACGGTCAACTAGGTATAAGGGCAGCTAGGCTGAGATTCCAATTACAGTGAGTGCCCAGTTACAAGGGTAAGCAGTATTAGAGCAGGAGCTACAGAACATCTTTCAACACAAGCAGTTTTATCCTTATAAATTTAAATACCCTTTATAAAGCTTCTAGCATTTGAGGTTGACATATTACGCTATAGTTAAAAAAATTGCAACCAAAAAAAACTGCTATAAAAGATTATATTTGTGGCCATGTTTACACCAAATGTGATGTCAAAGTGAAAGATCAGGTCTCATATGGGTTTGCTTAAGAGTTAAGTATTCATGGGAGATCTAGTGGAAGAACACATCTTGTACAGGTTTGCCTATGAATGAAATACTTCTGTAGTACAGCTCTCCAACGGGTTTGCCAGTGAGTAAAAATGTTCTGGAACATTTGGAGTTTCTCTCTGCACTTAAATACAGATCTGGATTCTGCCCTTCATGAACTAGAGTCCAAGATTCAAGGACAAATATAAACGGGAAAATTATGATGAGTGGGGTCTGCTGTGGAGTCTGATGGGGCTACATTAAAGTTCTGTGACAAATAACCTGGACAATAATGTCTGTATTTCAGGGTCACTGAAACCAGCTGCAAAAACTGAAGATATTATACAGAGTGTCCTGACAGGTAAGAGCTACTAAAATAATAACTTTTAATTTGGTATTTGAGCTACATGAGCTACATATCAAAATAAAAGCCAGTCGAGGCTGTGTGTATTACAAAGGTAGAGACAATTCAGTGGTCTTGAAAAAGCCCCTGCATGGTCATGCCATAGTCTGACAATCCATTGCCCTTCCAGAGGTCGAGGCACAGACATTAGAGGAGCTGAAGCAACAGAAAGTATTCGTAAAGGAGCAGAGAAAACAATACAAGGAGATGAAGGAGTTGGTGAGAAAACACCACAAGAAGACCACGGACATGATCAAGGAGCACACAACCAAGTACAATGAGTTTCAGAACGAGTACTTACGAAGGAGGGCTGTCCTGCAAAAGAACGTCAAGAGAGACAACAAGAAACGGTGGGGGTCGTCGAATGGACATGTCTGTTATTCTCCTCATCAATCTCTCAGTCATCTACCAATAAAAAGTATTTATGTATTTTAGGATTTATGCAAAAGGAATCGTGATCACGAAAAACAGATCAGTGTGGTTCCAATTCGAAGGTGCTGAGGGGGCTTCCCAGCCCATAGTCAATTTATATCGCTGTAAAATAAAAATAAAAAAGATTAATGGGCAACTTATGTAGTACACTCATTCTTCTAAAAAATAAAAAAGTGACAAGTCAAGTTTAGAGTCTGAATAGAAACCTTCCATCTATCTTCCATTAAAAAAATTAATATAATTTATAGAAGACGTTTTTTCCTGCTTAGTGCTGTATCATTTATCCAGTAATGTATTGTTGTAGATGTAATGTATTTATGCAGTACATCAGCACAGCAGAAGAACCTCCCTTGAAGTGCAATACTCTAAACGACTTTTTGATGTTAAGTGCTGCTGTAATCCACAGGCTTGTAAATGCTTTGTGTATCTCTAAACCAGCACTTCGGGTTCATCTCCTTAAGGGCCTGACAGTTTGCCGTTTCAATGAGTCCGATGTGTTTGTCTTGAGTAGCGCCACCGTGATGCAGGACACTGTCCCGTCACCTGAGGCTGGCTGTGAAAGATGCCCCGCCTTGTGCCTACCTTAGCGACAGTCTCTAAGGCCCCGCCGGCACAGAGCCCGGTCTCTTTACCGGGAAAGGCCTCATCAGTCAGTCGGAGCGACCCACCGCAGACGGAGGTGGCTGCCTTTAAAAGGATCCGAGCTCTCGGGGTCTCGCAGCTGGACGGGCCGATTTCCAGGCTCGTTTCCAGACCCAATTCCATCGCTCTCAGCTTCTAACGATGTGTAAACCATCCGAGGCTTCTTGTCCGGGGAGAGAGCTATTATTCAAGCAGGTGTTCAGCATAGGCAGTCTCTCTTGCTCTGGATTACATCCCACTGCCCTGACAAAGGGCTCTTACACTTAGGCAAGAAATGTGTGAGCGATCATGAGGGGAATCCGAGCTATCTGTATGAAGTGTTTATGTTCCTATGCCCTGCTTTTCTTTACCATAGTGAGAAATCTGGAAAGTTCTTGCTAATGTGAACAGAATGTGCCTTTACTAGTGATCAGAAGCCAGGCCTGATCACGGTCACGGGGCATTGAAGTCCGTCGCTGGCTCTGCCCATAACATCGGGTGGAGGTTTGCTCCTGAGCGCATTCCCCAGGAAAGACGTCAGTTTAATCTCCAGAGTGTCATTTATTCCTGACCGATGCCTCCGACACCAGACCCTGTGGATGGTTAGAGGTTTCTGGATAGCCCACATCCCCCACACATGCTCATTTCCCCATGAAAGGATGCTTTGCAGCACATACCCAATTAGATGCTTTAAAAACTTGTATGTGTTAAAGTCAACTTGCGTAGAACAAGTGCATTTGAATTCTCATGTCCACTCAATATAATAAACACTGCTGTCTTGCAGTGCTTTTAGTGATCTTTCTGAGCAGTTGTAACTATAAAACAGGAGCCCTGTGTTGGTGTGTCTTAATTTAATGTAGAATAATTGCTTTAGCGGGTCACTCTCTCTGAATGCTCCGTAGGGAGCAGCAGTGCCGGCCTTCACAGTACAGCGCGGATCTGCAAGCATCGCGGGATCTCAGGCCTTTCCATGGTGGAGCTCAAGTCTCCTTGAATAATAGTTGCTTTCCCACAAGTTCCGTTGAATATCTTTATTGCCATTGCACATGTGCAACAAAATTGGGTGCCACGCTATTAGTGCAAAACAGTAAGCAATTATAATACTATAAAGAAGTATAAATATGAAAAGTCATAAAGACATATAAATATCAAGATTTATAAAAAGAAGTCGAAAAATGGAAAGGTAAAGCACACATCATACCACACATAAAAGACATTTTTCACATTCTGCTGCTATTCATTGCATAATTTGTTCCCTTTAGGGTTACACAGTTTAAGCAGCATTTAATGCAGTGATGGCTTTTGGGTTAAAGGAACAGATAAGTCAGCTGTACTATAAATAGGTATGTTAAGGAATGATAATTTTTTTTAATCACACACCTTGACAATTAATAGTGTATATCACATGTACTTATAATGTACTCAACAGGCAGATGGAAACACTGTTTAATCTCAATTTAAAATTTTAAATTTACAGTATTTGGCAAATGGCTCTAAAAACAAAAGCCTGACAACCACTGAAAGTGCACTTTATATCATGAAGTATGTGAGGGTTTTAAGGTAAACACCTTCAATAAGGTAAAACAAATAATACAAATTACAATATGTTACTCAGTGTTTGCCTCCATCTGGCAGTCTGTAAAAATGAAACAAAGCAGGTAACGTCAGCTTCCATGTAAGACCCGAACTCAATGTTTAGATTTTAGCTTTGAATTCTGGGATTCTGTGCAATATCACAACCTAAACTCTCATGTTGTTTACAGTGAGGAAGGAATATAATTGTTCTGCATTGAAATGTATTCAAATGGGAGAATGGTATGAATATAGATTAACATGATCAAAGAAGTAATAGCGAGTTATGACTTTAAAATGAACTCAACCCCTCAATGTGATAAATTTCCTTGACAATTCAATAAATACATTATTTAATCGATAGCTCAGGCATTCAAGTGCCTCTAAAATCTGTGTTGCGATACGGACCAGTGCATACAGATTGTATAGGAACAAATCGTATAGGAATGTCAGACCAGGTCAGAAGTGAGGTGTGGAAGGTGACAAGTCAAACATTGTAGCAAGCATGTTTAACAGACTGAAGTTTCCGGGTTAAGAATACTTGCACAGTCCAAATACTGACTTCAAGTGCTGTCCGTTTTCCAGGGTCCCACCATCCAGTCCAGAGCATGGCCTTTCATCCCTGGAGCAGGAACTCTCAGACCTGGACCAGGAATGCAACCAGAAGCTCAGGGAGCTTAAAGAGCAGCAACAGCAGCGACTCTTGGACTTGCGTCAGGAGCAATACTACAGCGAGAAGCACCAGAAAAAGGAACACATCAAACAGGTAGAGAGATACAAGAAAAGGGACAAATCAAACAGGTAGAAAGATACCAGAAAAGGGACACATCAAACAGGTAGAGAGAGATACCAGAAAAGGAAACACATCAAACAGGTAGAGAGATACCAGAAAAGGGACATATCAAACAGGTAGAGAGAGATACCAGAAAAGGGACACATCAAACAGGTAGAGAGAGATACCAGAAAAGGAAACACATCAAAGAGGTAGAGAGAGATACCAGAAAAGGAAACACATCAAAGAGGTAGAGAGAGATGCCAGAAAAGGAAACACATCAAACTGGTAGAAGGAGAGACACCAGGAAGGGGAGCATCAAGCAGTTAGAGAGAAATCAGCAAAGGAGAATCGAGCAGGTAAAGAGAGACACCAGAAAAGGGAAAACATCAAACAGGTAGAAAGATAAAGACCAGGAGGGGGAGCATCAAGCAGGTAGAAAGAGACACTAATAATGGAAACACGTCTAGTAGATAGTTATAGACACTATACAGTATGTGGAGAACACATAAAGCGCGTAGTGCTCACATCATTATGCACCTTTCAGGCTCTTTTTTGTTTTACCTACCTTGCTCCACCTTACATAAGGGAACTAAATGTGACTGTGGGTCTCTACTTCCCTCTTGTTAACATCAGGGTGGAACATTGTTACCTACACACAATTATTTATTTGTTTGATGGTGATACTTTTTGCAGAAGTTCATCGTTAATCAATGGCTGCTGGGTCACTTCATAATTTTTTTCATCCCTTTTCTGTTCTTTCTCTTTCCCACAAGCTTGGCAGTGCTGTTACAGTACCATGTGTTCCCTCTCCCTGCCATTAAGCAGATCAAATCTGGAAGCCCGTAACTTTATCTATAAAGTATTGCTCGGTTAAAACACAGATTTTTTACTGTTCTTCCTTTTTCTGTTGCCACCTTATCGACCCCTGTCATCTCGTAATGTCTTCCTTCACAACCCTTTGAAAAATGACTTTCATATTGTGCTTTTTAACTCGAGAGCCTTGTTCCAGCTCATTGGCTGCGCTGTCCAAAAGAGCAGGAGTGCAGGAGTTGCCTTGTTCATACGTGGAGGCTCAGTGAAGTGCAACGGCTAACCCAATTATATTTGATGCCAGTTTAATGGAACAGATAAGTCAGCTGTACAGATAATGAGGCTTTGCTAAAATAATAATAATAATGAGAAAACAATGGCGGTGATGGACATTACATTTTGTCTATGGGTATGATTCTCCGTTTGGGTACGAGAGGGCCCCCTGGGGGTGGTGTGTGGGTAAGCAGGTTAGAGAGAGACTCGGAAGGTTCGATTCCTATAGCCAGCAGACTGATGTGCTGTGATCCCCAAACTTGATTTAACCTGTATATATGTCTGTGTCTCATGGAGAATAAAATCCAATAGGTGAAAAGACAGTATATCCCCGTGGTGATGGATAAAGTGTCACTTTTCTATGCTAAATTTTATTTGCATGTGGAACTATATGTAATCTTTAAACTGTAATCTATACTGTATTCTGATTTTTTTTCATAGCTTGTGGAGAAACTGACTGCAGTAGCAGAGGAATATCAGAACATGCAACTCAAAAAGCTAAAAGACATCTGCGAAAAGTAGGTTGTTATGCATGCAAAGTGTTTCTGTGTTTTTAATATCATAAAGGCACAACATGTTTGCTGAAGCATTAGCGACGCTGCTTGTGTGAAGGAAGCGTCATGCGTTTTGTGATGAGAGTTTATATCCTCTTCATCATGCAGGGAGAAGAAAGACCTGAAAAAGAAAATGGACAAGAAAAGACAAGAGAAGATCAATGAGGCCAAGTATAAGGAGAAGAACCTCACAGAGGAGTAAGTGAGAGTCTGTGTGGGAGAGAGAATCTGTTGGGGGTATGTTCAGGTGGGGGAGGGATTGCCTGTCCCCTGTAGACTCTGGGACATCATGCTGGTATAGGGGTCATCTGTCTCCTGTACCTTCTAAGTCTCAGACAATTTTTAATGTATAAATGTGCATACTGTAGTGCAGTGTGTCCCAATCAGGTCCTCAGGAACCCACGGGGGGGGGGGGGGAGTAAAAACATGGACTGTCTGGCAGGGAGCTCGGAGGGAACAAGAATGTGGACCGACTGTGGATCCCCGAGGACCGGATTGGAAAACACTACTGTAGTGTATTATTATTATTATTATTATTATTATTATTATTATTAATTCACACATTTTCTTAAAATAGGAAGGATACTTAAAAATATGTCATAGTGCCAATATTGTGCAGTCCAGTTATTTTGAGGTCTGTATGACAACTCAGGCAAAACAACTAAATAACTTTTTTCTGTCCTTTAAGTAATTTTTCTCTTAGGGACTAATGAACCTTTCATACCTGCCTACCAACCTGCCTGCATTAGTTTACCGTGAACTGTATGCTGTAACACACATTTCTGTGACTTCCAGAGAGAAACTGGAGATCAACAGGTCTTACATTAATGAAGTGGTTCAGTCCATTAAACGGGTAAGAATCTACAGCTTATTTTCAAACTTAAGACATCTTCAAGGAAGTTTAACATACCATAGGGTATTTATCTATATTTAATGTATGATTTAGAATGTGAATGTGACGGCACATGACTGCCATTTTAAATTACGGTTGAATTATACTGTATTATGGTTGAATTGTACAGTGTTACAGTTGATGCTGCAGTTGTGAATTTCTACCAAACGTCGACACCTAACCTTGCCCATGGATCGTGTTTGTGTGTCTGTGTGTGTAAGCGTAGCTTTTTCTGTCAAACTTTTCCTTCAGCTAGAGGAAGCACAGAGCAAGAGGCAGGAGAAGCTTCAAGAGAAGCACAAGGACATTCGGCAGCAGATACTGGATGAAAAGCCTAAGGTGAGCTTTTTTTGTTTTGTTTTGTTTTTGTTTTGTTTTTTGTTCGCTCCACTTATTCAAGCTTAACTATCACACTTAATTAGCAGGTTTCAAAAAACACAGTCAGAGTTCTTTCATGTTTTAATAGTAACTACATTAGTAGCATAATCACAGCTTATTTTAAGATATTAGTCAAAATGGAATAGTATACCTTCGTAACATATTGTCACTGAACCTTGGGCTACCCAGTATTTCTGTAGTGACTCCTTATTGGCTGTCATTATTATCGTTCTCATAGACCGGCTGCTCATTGGATGAGGAAGGTAAGGCGTGCTGCATCCCACCACTAACCAATCACTGAGTTAATCTTGAAAGGCTCCGCTTTTTAAACATGCGGCTGCAGGACCCGGACATACCCTGAGCAAAAGGGCCAACCTCAGCGGTATGCCATAATCGCAGTGAACAAGTAGGAGTTCCTCTGTGGTCATGTGACATGCCTGCTGAATGGCCTTAGTGCACTGGCATGTTTTATGCCATAGCTGCAAAGTGCCGCATGCACTACCTTAATTCCTAGGTCTTACACCAGTTGTAGGACCCCTGTTTGTGTCCAATGTGCTTTTGCAACATTGGCAGCTATGTGGAAGCCAAGGCCTGGTCTGACTTACGGTCCAGAGTCGCCAGGAAAACAAACAGAGCCGTCCTCCTCATTCCCCTCGCCTCTCTCCCACACGCAGAGCCGTCCTCCTCATTCCCCTCGCCTCTCTCCCACACGCAGAGCCGTCCTCCTCATTCCCCTCGCCTCTCTC